AAAAATAACCAAAATAAATGAATACGTTTCATAATTTTGAGTTTGAGATTCCCAGCAGCTTTACTTAAATACGAGGCGCCTGTGATCCAAGTTGCCATACATTCATGCTTTTTCATGGCAATGTTGCCTTCACCTCTTCTTATAACTGAGAACCTCTGACCACATGGCCCACCAAACCAAACCACATCATGAACAAGCAGTACAGAGTAAGTTCAAAAGTAGCGAGACCGACTGAAACCGAACACATGATGTCTTTTTAACAGTGAAGGTATTTTAATTTGCCACACCATTAAAAAATATATTCCTTGAAAATAAACACCTGTTTGCACACACAGACCAACAATTCAAAAATAGCGCAGGTGGAAATCATTCAGTATGAAGGTTTACCTATGATGGACAAACTGAAACTTGTCTTAATTGAAAAAAAAAGCCACTTTTCACTTTTTAACATCTATTCAATAGTCTGCAACAACAAAATCTTAAATTATCTTCATTGGGGGGTTTTCTCAGCAAACATTGTTTGAGATATTAATTCAAAATTATATCAAAACTAGTGCTGGCAAACGATTAATCGCGATTAATCGCATCCAAAATAAAAGATTTGTTTACATAATATATGTATGTGTACTGTGTATATTTATTTTGTATATATAAATACACACACATGCATGTATATATTTCAGAAAAATATGTTACGTTTATATATTAATTATATATTATATGAATATAAATATTGACATGTAAATATAGTCAGATGTCCGTATGCACAAAGGCACAGATCCCTAAACAACACCATATCTTCAGATGAAACCTTTTTTGGTGAAGCATTTTTTAAATTTGAACGAGCACCTCATGACTACACCACATTATGTACGAGAAGCTGCAAAAGACACAGGCGCAAGTGGAATGTAAAAAACACGGTGACAATCATTTTTAAGTAAATATAATGGGCGATATATTGCGTCACCAAAAATGATTGAGGTCATGTATATATATTGCGCGATAAGTCGATATATTGATTATTGCGACAGGCCTACATGTAATTGCACTAAAATATTTCATAGATTTACATTCCTAGTTAAAATGCATCAGAAAATATTACCCACATGCATAACGAATGCATGTAGGTAGTGATATCATTCTGACGATGTGTGAGATGACTTATAGCCGCAGTGAAACTACAGAGTCTACAGACCTACACGGAACTGTGGGAAGAGTCTGCTGTCATTTCCCACGTTCTTCATGAGTTCATTTACGTGAAGTCTCTCCAGTGAACTCATATCTGGTGAACTGCGCTTGTCATGCAATGATGGGGTTTTGCGGGAACCCACAACGTCTGGCCCTGACAGCTCACTGCGAGGGGCTTTTGCTGCAAGAGCTACTTCCAGGAAAGATTTATCTAATAAAAGCCACACGTATCTATTATATACGTAGCTGTGAGAAGAGATGACAGTCAGGTACCCATAGATCAGATGTTTTCAGTCAGAGGGCCTGCTTGACATTCTATTTTTTTTTTTTTTGAGACATGTATATGTTTGAATTGCTAAACACAAAAACGAAACTCATCTGCAGTGACTGGTTCTTTCTTTCAGTTTTTCAGCGGCATGCATCATCCACTTAAAACCTCTCTCTAGCAGTGACGTCACTAACATTTGTGATTCTATACCATATAGAGGGATTTTTGTAAATATGAAAAAAAAAAAAACTGTCAAGCTGTCATTAGAATAAAAAAAAGAGCAAAATGTATTGTACTATTACAATATTAGAATCAACTAATCTCACGATCTTCTGAATAATCTTTAGAAAGCGGAATGAAATATTATCAAAGTTTGGTTTTGAACATATTTCACAACTGTCTTTGCACACATTAACATTGACAGCCCTAAAAACAAACAAACAACCAAAACATTTCAAGCCTGTATTGGTTAAAAGCATTGACTGTTATTTGGACTTTTAAGTGTTAAGTAATCAGTGACAAATGCGAAGAACTAAAACAGCAACATTATCTAGGTCTTGCAAGTATAAAAGTTTACTGACATTGATTTATTTCTGTAAAACATGACATACTTTGCTGCTAATAAACTTTACCCCATCCAAATGTTGTAGTTTTGATGACTGCTTATAATAATAATTGCTACATTGATGTGTTGTCGTGATAAAATATTGCATGCACTTACCTTCCAGCCAGTCTGATGTGATGTGATGTGAAGTGAGTTGACAGCTCAGAGACCTGCAATCTCAACTCTATATAAAGAGACGGAGTTGTTCGTCATTTTCCACATCCTTCCTGTTCACACGATGATGACAAAGGTCTGTGAAACTGAACTAAACCAGAAGATCAGTATGATCAGTTCAATAAACAAAAGCAGTTTGATTCTATCTCAAGCATCTGTAAAGAGAAAGTTTCAAGATTCACAATTCATTAAATAATAATACAGATTATGATTACGGAAGAAAACTTTTCGGTAACACTTTATTTCGATAGTCCACTTTAAACATTCTATTAACAGTAAGTAACTTTGCAACTACATGTCAACTAGCAGTTAGTAGAGTATTAGCAGACTGTCTGCTTAATATCTTCTAACACTTTCTTTGTCAACTTATTCTACTAACCCTAAACATACCCTAGCAGTCTACTCTGAGAGTTAGTAGACATGTAGTTGCAAATTAATGAGAATTAGTTGACATGTAGTTACAAAGTTACTTATAGTTAATAGAATGTCTAAAGTGGACTATCGAAATAAAGTGTAACCAACTTTTCATTTAGATTTTCTAACATGCTTTTTTTTTTCTTTAACTTGAAATGCATGTGAGTGTACACATCTTCATCAGTATATTACAAAAGGGTTTTAAACATATTGTACGTTAAAAGTTTTATTTTTCTTTGATTTGTTTTTAAATCATGAACATAAATGTAGCAACCTGAAGTAAACGTGCAATATCATAAGGAGGTAAAATGATCAGATTTGTACCTTGAAACAGTCATGAAGGTCTGCAGGGGGTCCTTTCTGATTTCATTTCCTGTTTTATGGTTTTCTTGTCACGTGACAGCAAAATTGTTTCCTGCTAGTTCATACCACAAATAACTTTGATGTTGAACAAGGTTTTAAATATGAATATTTGAAAACAAAACCGCTTCATTAATTACATTGCTTAAAACACAGTAATAAAAGATTATATTAAATACTTTCAGCCTTTTAATAAGACTCTTCTTCATGATTTTAATATGTTATATCCATATAAATATATGTTATTATTACAGATGTTAATAAAAATAAATACACTACTGTTTAAATTCTGGATTTTAAGTCTCCTGTGCTCACTGAGGCTGCATTTATTTAAAAAAACAAACAGATAAATAAATAAAAAACAATTGTGAAATATTACACATGATCCTTCAGAAAGCAGTGCTGACTTGGTGCTCAACAAACTTTTCTTATTGTTATTAAGGTTGAAAACAGTTTTGTTGCATTGTTTTCCTTCTTCAGGATTCTTTAATTAATTTAATTTAATAGGAAATTTATTTGGAATGTTTGTAACATTATAAATGTTATTACTGTCACTTCTGACAAAAAAAAAACAAAAACTTCCTGACCTCTACTTTTGAATTTTGAATGTTTATGATAAATAGGTCTAGACAAAAAAAAAAAAAAAAAAATCTAATAATTGTATTGAACCATAACAAACTGCACATTTGGTTACACTTTATTTCGATAGTCCACTTTGGACATTCTATTATCAGTAAGTAACTTTGCAACTACATGTCAACTATCAGTTAGTAGAGTATTAGTAGATTGTCTGCTTAATATCTTCTAACACTTTCTTTGTCAACTTATTCTACTAACCCTAAACATACCCTAGCAGTCTACTCTGAGAGTTAGTAGACATGTAGTTGCAAATTAATGAGAATTAGTTGACATGTAGTTACAAAGTTACTTATAGTTAATAGAATGTCTAAAGTGGACTATCGAAATAAAGTGTAACCAACTTTTCATTTAGATTTTCTAACATGCTTTTTTTTTTCTTTAACTTGAAATGCATGTGAGTGTACACATCTTCATCAGTATATTACAAAAGGGTTTTAAACATATTGTACGTTAAAAGTTTTATTTTTCTTTGATTTGTTTTTAAATCATGAACATAAATGTAGCAACCTGAAGTAAACGTGCAATATCATAAGGAGGTAAAATGATCAGATTTGTACCTTGAAACAGTCATGAAGGTCTGCAGGGGGTCCTTTCTGATTTCATTTCCTGTTTTATGGTTTTCTTGTCACGTGACAGCAAAATTGTTTCCTGCTAGTTCATACCACAAATAACTTTGATGTTGAACAAGGTTTTAAATATGAATATTTGAAAACAAAACCGCTTCATTAATTACATTGCTTAAAACACAGTAATAAAAGATTATATTAAATACTTTCAGCCTTTTAATAAGACTCTTCTTCATGATTTTAATATGTTATATCCATATAAATATATGTTATTATTACAGATGTTAATAAAAATAAATACACTACTGTTTAAATTCTGGATTTTAAGTCTCCTGTGCTCACTGAGGCTGCATTTATTTAAAAAAACAAACAGATAAATAAATAAAAAACAATTGTGAAATATTACACATGATCCTTCAGAAAGCAGTGCTGACTTGGTGCTCAACAAACTTTTCTTATTGTTATTAAGGTTGAAAACAGTTTTGTTGCATTGTTTTCCTTCTTCAGGATTCTTTAATTAATTTAATTTAATAGGAAATTTATTTGGAATGTTTGTAACATTATAAATGTTATTACTGTCACTTCTGACAAAAAAAAAACAAAAACTTCCTGACCTCTACTTTTGAATTTTGAATGTTTATGATAAATAGGTCTAGACAAAAAAAAAAAAAAAAAAATCTAATAATTGTATTGAACCATAACAAACTGCACAAACAAAATACACACACAAATATTAAATATTTAATCAATAATCACCAAATGAGAAAATCTACAGTACGATCTCATCTCTGCTTACACAATAAAACTTTGAAAAACAAAAGTAACATACAAATGTAATAAAGAATGTTGATGCAAATTTATTGATATCAAAATTGACCCGAGAGAGTGAATCCATTAAAACTCCAGAAAAAGATGCACAGTGAGGAGTTTTTCGTCTATTGTTTGATGTAATTCTGCATTCTGGCTTGAAGGGGCAGTACAAACCACTATTATACTGGAGTAAATAAATCATGAATTGGCTGTGCATGCTACAAACTGCTGGAAAGAGCATTTGTTTTCATTTGTTGTAGAACAATTTAATAAAACAACGTATAGCAAGTAACATTTTGAAAGTGACTCCTGTGGAAAATGTGGTTTTCAAGGTGTTTGCACAAAAGCTCATGATGCAGTTTCATTTTTGGATACTTTTTCGTTTTGGCTGGAAGGCTGAATATGCAGGACCAAGTCCAACCACAGTTAAATCACTAACATATGTCTGCTGAAAAACAGTATTTTTCTTTTTTGTGGAAAAACTGAATTTTAGTTATTCAAGGATTGCTGGGCCAGTTTCTGATACAGTTGGTACTTCCCCAGTTATAAATAGATCGCCTCTGTGAATAAAGATTTCATTAAAAGCAGAGATCATAAAACATTTTATTTCCCCATTTTAGGAGTTCAAAGACTCTGGATGAACTTGCGTCTTTGTTTCAGAGTCTGGTAAAGCTCAGCTGCATTTCAATGGTGAAGAGATCCATTCCATTCTGAACGTGTCGTTTGTGGCCTGCAGACACAGTGAAATGAGATCGAAGATCACAAATGTTTCTAGAAAGTTTTGAGTGTGGTCTTGAGTTGTAACATTTCAGCAACAGATATCCGGTCATGGTAAAAACTCAAGCCCGTCAGAAGCTCAATGTCTCTGATTCGTGCCACGTGAAGCTGAACCCAGTCCTGGAGCCATGAGTAGTCTGAGCCATTCTGGAGAAATAAATGATGAAACAAAAAAGATGTGTAAAAAAAGAAATGCATAATGAGATATGAGAGAGAAACAACTATTCCTCTTCTTTAATAACCATATTTGATTCATCTCATTATTTTTTTTTCAATACCTTATTCCATATTATGCTTCCCTAAAGTACATTTTAGCATCCTTTTAAAAGTACTTAAAGGAACACTCCACTATTTTTGAAAATAGGCTCATTTTCCCAACTCCCCTAGTTGAGTTTTACCGTTTTCGAATCCATTCAGCCGATCTCCGGGTCTGGCGGTAGGACTTTTACAGCGCCTGAAAATAGTCCCCAGCACGCTCCCTGTGCTAGAAAATCGCAACTTTTCATTTTCTGTCGGTCTTAGTACACGATGTAACTATAGAAGAGTCAAGTTTTAAATAGGAAAAATATAGAAACTCTTTGGTCTTTTTTGAGCGAGATGCTAACGGTCTAATCAGATTCAATGATCTATGCTAAGCTACAGCTAAAAGTGCTACCGCCAGACCCGGAGATCGGCTGAATGGATTCAAAAACGGTAAAACTCAACTGTTTAACTCTGGGGGAGTTGGAAAATGAGCCTATTTTCAAAAATAGTGGAGTGTTCCTTTAAGGAAATAATATATTTTCATTATATTTACATTATACATTATATTATAATGTTTTCAGCCACTTCACTGCATTTTAACTGCAATTAATTAAAATGTATTACAGTTTAAATCTACATTCAATTAAACTAGTTGAAATTTAGAGTGACCCACTTAAATAGGACTTAAGTACATCTTTAAATTTAGTTCTATCGTCTTTGAATATGGTTGAAATGTACTGACAAATGTTTGTTAACTAGTTTCATTTTGAAGTTAACTTTTTTAAGTGGTTAACAAGTTACCTAACGAGCAAGTTACTCAGCTACTTCCTCTGTACAGTCTTATGGTCGCTGTGGTTTAGATGGTGAATGGCTGATTACATACATGACATGTTTCCAGACGATCAGGTCGGTGAGGAAGAACGAAAGACACAGCATCTAGAGGACCGTCACACTGTTGGACGGGAAGGGATGAGTTCTTACAACTTGTAAGAATCACAAAGAAATGTGTAGGGATGGGAGCCACGTTCCTGAAAGCAAAAGAGAATCATCTTTATGAGGAAATAATTCAGTCTAATACATTATTAAACACATTTTGGCAGTGTTTGGCCAGCAGTGGGCAGTATGTGAACTACCTATGGATCTAATAGTAAAGGTGCATTTGGCCTAATAAAAGATGTTTTGTCTCATATAGTCACATATTTGACTTAAGCATAAATTCTGGTCCACTTTGGTGTTTTTTACACACAGTGTAAGATCCTCAGTCGTTTAGTGTATGATGGTCAGTTTTTCCTCTGTGACTATTACAAAGTCGTTAAGTGTATAATGCCTAGTGATTTAAAATCTGTTCAGATTTTAAGAGTTGTGTAGTGTATTCCAGCCTTTAGACAGGACACCATCTGACCAACATGTAAAGTGACCAACCACAGTTTGTTTTGATTTTAAAGTGGCATTTAAGGAAAATTAAATCTGAAATAGATTAATAGTTAAGGGTTTTTTAAGGTAAGACGAGACATTTTTAACTTGTGTGGTCCTAAGGGAAAATGAGGCAGAAGTACAATTAAATAATCTAAAGTAATTTCAAGATGTTTCCTATCATTTTAAATGATCAAAATGTATCTATAACAAAGGGTTCTAAAAATATGGTTTATAAAAATGTGTTCTTGTGGTTCAATTTGCCCCAGGTTAGGGGTAAGCTGACCTGAGTCAGTGGGTAAGATGCGAATATTTTATTACAAATATTCTTGACATGGTAGCTTTTCTGCAATGTCGAACAGGCCATTAAGGACTACAGGTTGAAAAGTATAAATGATTATAATGTGATGAAAAGCATCTTCTTAGTTCTTATCAGAGAAGGATTTGGTGAACTTGTATACAGTCCCTATCAAATAAACGACAAAAAAAAGTACTTACATGATAAACTAAACCAGTTGCATAATATCACATTAAAATACCAGCTTATACTTCAGAGATTTACCTTAAATTCAGTGTTTTATGGTGGGGTAAGTTAAAATGGCACAATTTACCCCACAGCATTTGGCTCACTTTGCTCCATAGCAGGCATTTTGTTAAAAAAGAAAAAAATTGCTATCTTAACAAATCAGGCTAATATTTAGCTAAATGATTTGCATGGTTTTATATGTTGCTAAATCACCTTTATACATCATAAATATTTTTTAGACTTGGATAAATTTGCTTTGACGTAACAACCATTACATCTGTCATGCTAAAATTTTACTTTGACAAGCCAAAAACAGTTTGTAAAGTAAATGGGTGCCTTCCACTCCTATCATGTGTTTCTCCTTTTCACAGTCTGGCAGAAATGATGAGTGGTTCCAAAATACAAGGTCACATGACAGTAAAAGTGTACAGTTGGCAAGATACAGGGGGTGGTTCAACTTACCCCACTCTCCCCATATGGAAGTCCTGAGAGACCATGGATTATTATCATTATTATAATTTTTCTATTATCATTATTATGTTTTCTTGTGATCACAACATACATTTTCCCATAAACTTGACATAACAAAAGTTGTTTTCTCATTATCTCGACCAATATTTTCTTGTGATCTCGACAAAACAAAAAGTAGTTCTCTCGTTATCACAACTTAAATTTTCTCGTTACTTTAGCAACAGTAGACTCCAGGTGCATTGTTTCTCAGAATCAAACAATCACTGTAAAAAAAACACCTTTTGTTATGTCGAGATCACGAGAAAATTAAGTAGTGGTAACGAAAACGAGATCATGATCAAATCGTGATCACGAGAAAACAGAAAAGAAAAAAAAAAAATAATCCATGGCCTCATAGGGCTTCCGTTCTTTTATTTAGCAAGGATGGATTAAATTGATCAAAAGTGATATACCATTATAATGTTACAAAATGTCTCGGTTGCGTACGTAACCCTCATTACGTTATGTCGTGATGACATTAGGGGTTTACTTGGGAGCCCCAATATTCTCTAATTTTAACCCTTTCACTGGTGAGTTTCAAATATTCTAGCTGTCCTCCCAGAGTGAGTTTTTTTTAGGCAACCGTTACTTTAGAACATTTCCCCTTATTGTTTCCATGGCGACGTGTCATGCTTGTCATGTGACACACCACGGCCACAATAACACTGTATGACAGATGGATCGCTTTTATTTCGTTTTTTTTATTCAAAATATTCATAAACTTGCTTACCATATCATCAACTATCTGATATTCCGATTCACAAATGTGTAAATGAGTGTTTTGTCATTTAAAAACCATTCTAAATTATCTTGATCGTGATCTGTAACGTGAGATGGGCGCCGCCATGTTTGTTCGCACTGCAGTTCAGAGAGTCCTGTCAGTCCGATTTACAGCACATAAATTCATAACTTTCTCCCGAAATACATGTAAGTAAATTCCGATTCACAAATATGTGTAAATGAGTGTGTTTTGTCATTTAAAAACCATTCTAAATTATCTTGATCGTGATCTGTAACGTGAGATGGGCGCCGCCATGTTTGTTCGCACTGCAGTTCAGAGAGTCCTGTCAGTCCGATTTACAGCACATAAATTCATAACTTTCTCCCGAAATACATGTAAGTAAGTGGCCGGTGAACGGAGAAGAATAGAGTGAACTTTATAGTTACTTACACTGTGTATATCTGATATTAATAAAACACGGTGACAAATTATATTTGAATGGATTGTTATTGCTGCTTCCATAAACAACCGTGTGTATTTTACGAACTCTAAATGTATTGTTTTACTAGTACTTATGTGTATTTAAATGTCTGAAACCTAAAATAAACATTATGTGGTTACAATTACAGTATGTCCGGCATCAGCAAGTGGTTCAGGGATATGGCATGGGGACATATCGTCTCCGTTCCCTCCTTCAGGGAACGAGGGTTACATACGTCTATCTGTCGGTAACTACAAGTTATGTCGTGAGGACAATAGGGGTCTATGGAAAGCACCACAACCACTGAACACTGTTACAACCTGTGGCACTGCAAATGTTGACAGGCTGAGGAGTGTCAAGCAAATGCCACGCAGAAGTCGTAACCTTCCAAACGCCCCAGTGCAAATTCACTGACCTTCGTGCCGATAGGGGCCAATGGTGAGTACATTGCTGCTGGAGAAGCCCATGCTGCTGTTCCGCCCACAGAAATTCTTTAACAGAAGGAATTTCAACTTCTGGAAAAAAAGACTTGCTTCAGATCTTTTTCAATTTTTTTTTTTAGCAAGGCTAGATGAAATCGTTGGGGAAGAGTGCCTCAGTCTAAGGGCTAAGGCCGCTACGGAGGCCACATCCTACCTGTAGGAAGGTGATATGTGGAGATACAAATATGGACTGACCCCAGGGAGGCAGTACTACATATGGAATAAGTCTCTGAGGTCCTACCTGGAAGTAGGGATGGAGCTATACTACCAAGAGAGATGGACAGAGTGGAATCTCTACAGGGGTGGACACGAGTTTACCATGAGGGAAACCTTACCGTGGAAAAATACACATCTGGGATTACCCACAGGGAATCACACAGATGGGACACCTAGCCCAGTACAGGGGCTGGCCCTAAAACCTCACAAAGGTGAAGGTTCTGAAACTCCAGGTGCGGTCCACGTATATATGCAAGGCTCTTACGGGACACAGCAACGCCAAGGCTGGATTTGCCTCCTCCAGGAGGCAGTGCTTACAGGTTCACCACTTGGACCCGGAAGGGAGTGGTGGGAACCTTGGGCACGTATCCAGGCCAGGGTCTCAGGACAACATGAGAGTAGGCCGTCCCAAATACAAGGCACTCTTCGCTCACCGAAAATGCTTGTAGGTGTCCTACCTTCTTGTTGGAAGTGAGCGCAGTCAGGAGTGCTGTCTTAAGAGACAGGAACTTAAGCTCGACTGACTCAAGAGGCTCAAAGGGATCTTTCTGAAGTCCAGCAAGGACAAGAGAGAGACACCAGGAGGGCACGAGTGGTGACCTAGAAAAGTTCAATTGCCTAGCACCCCTCAGGGACCTAATGACCAGGTCATGCTTCCCCAGGGACCGGCCGTCCACTCATTGTGATGTGCTCCAACAGCAGCACAATACACTTTTCAAGGTGGAGGGTGACAGAGGGTGCAGGAAAGAAAGCACGACTCCGATTGGGCATCTTCAGGGGTCTTCTCGGCGAGAAGAACACCAGTCCGTGAACAGACTCCACATAAGCTCGCCTATCACTCGCTTTGGCTTGAGTGATAGTGTTTGTGTTGAGGGAGAATCGAGACATGAAAGTACGCATCCTTCAGGTCGACCACTACAAACCAATTCTGGGATTGGATGCATCTGAGGATGCGCTTCTGCGTCAACATCTTGAACAGAAGCTTGTGAAGAGTGATTCAAGACTCGCAGATCCAGGATTGGCCTCCTCCAGGTGAAGGAGTGGTGCTGTCCCCGCCACCTCCTGGAAAAGAGCAGCTCCCCACATCTCCGGGTTGCCCGTGTCAGGGCCGCTTTATCATCTTCCTTGAGGACTTGAGTGGCTTAGCGGAATAGCGACAGGAGGAGGATCATGTTGGGGCAGGATGTGCTGGATGTTCTCAGTCTGCTTTTGTACTGCCGATAACTGTTGGGCAAAGTGTCCAAAAAAGTGTCGCCGAAAAGGCCAGCCTGGGAGACGGGAACATCAAGAAAGTGTACTTTGTCGATGCCTCTCATCTTGTGGTGGTCACCAGAGGATAGGAAAAGACCGCAACAAAGAGGACACAGATGGAGTGGTGTCTTTAAAAAAATGCAGACCGTCTGTGATTTGCTCTTTTAGAGGAACTGCTCTTTTTAGTTGAATCGCCCAGGGGACCTGCTGTTTGTGCCGTACCGCCAACCAGGACAGCCCTCTTCTTAACAGCAAGGTGAATGGCTTTGTGGTAATGAATAAACATACAACCACTCGGCTCCGAAGCAAAAACCTGAATGAGTGGATGCACTCTGTTGCCTTATATACCCGCATGTACGGGGAGTGGCTTGGCATGCAAAATCCACTAGCCAATACTCATTGGCGTTTTCACTTAAACTCAGAGGTGATTGGGGCTCTCTAACCCTAACCCTACCAGTCTACTAATACTCTAATGAAAGTTAGTAGACATGTAGGTGCAACATTACTTATAGTCAACAGAATGTGTTAAAGGGACCATCAAAATAAAGTGAAACCACCCCTAATGCTGTCACAACATAACTTGTAGTGACCGACAGAAGACAGTTGTATTAAATTGTAATAATATTTCACAATATTACTGTTCTACTGGTTTTCTACTGATACTGTGGCAGATTGTTGGGTAGTCTGTTTAGCTAATGGATCTTTCACACACTCTTCTGGCACTGGGTCATTTTGCAAACTTACGGGGTTCCCTTGTTCATAAAGTCATAGTTCCCATCAAAGTCGTTGTCAAATATTGGTCCACTCACAACATTGACTCCATTCAGCTCTTGTGAATACTTCACCAGCAGAACATTGTGAAAGCGATTCCAAATATCTGTCACAAAGACATTAGACATGAACAACAGTGACCCTATGATCACACATGAAAGCCACAGAACAGACACACCAGGGTTATTATTGTTAACTAAAACTAAAACCACTGGCTCTGAATATACAGACAAACCATGGGTCACAGGAGGGGTGGGATGTTGATCAGTACTTGGGATGGGTGTCATCACGCGTCTCAAGATACCAATGAGAGCATTTGGGGAGGGCAAAGACTGCAGCAGCGCTCACGACTTCATAAGTGGGAAATATGAAGTTTCCGATAGCACGTGAAGACAGCAGAGAAGCGATCTCGCTCAGCACAGTGGAGTGCATAGTTTTGTTAACTTTGTGGTTTATTATTTTGAGTCGTTTGGGACGCGGTAACACACGGCCCTATCAGAAGTTCAGCGCTCCGACACTACATGCGCACCGCGCCCGAGCCCAACTGAACTGCGCTCTGGCCCACCTCTTCCAACCGAGCCAGGGACGGCTAAACGAACCGCGGCACGGATTGATCACACTAGTCAAACGAACCGGGCTTTGGGGTGTCAGACGCGCTCAAGCACGGTTAAGATTGCCTAGTGTGAGTACACAATTATTCTCCCGCATCCCGCACACATGAGTCTCTACCCGCCCGCACCCGTACTTGCCCATCAGGTGTTGTCCCGTGCCGAACTCTGCTGCGTTGGGTCCCGCAATAGTGCAGGTCTCTACTCGGAAAGCGCCTGTTATAATTTTATGTTTCTATAACAAACTATATAATATTTTCTATAAAAACGTTAATGCCCTGGCAGTGGCAAATAGCTTTGGTTTTTTATTTAATTTGATTACATTAATGTTATAAGTCGAGATTTACAAGAAATATTTTAACTGCTACTATGTAAAAGGAATACTGCTGTAAAAAAGCACTTATTTGTTTAAAGTGTTTGCAAACCAAATGTTATTGCTTGTTCATATATATAGCAGTACTTTTACATGGAAAAAAGTGCACAATAAACTACTTTTGAATGCATTATTTAATTTTGTGCATAACAATGCAAATAATCGCGATTAATCACAGAAAATCATGTGATTAATCACGATTAAAAATGTAATCGTTGCCCAGCACTAATATATATATATACAGTGGGTACGGAAAGTATTCAGACCCCCTTAAATTTTTCACTCT